AGAACAGATACTTTGGAGCACTCCACCCTCCAGATCTGGCACTGTGTCTTCCTAGATTCAATAAAAAACTAGTTCCTTATACAGTCATGAAATACAGAACACAGACATCAGAAAATACATTGTAAGGCAAACTGTGCTCAACACTAGTCTGTCTTTTACATTGCAATCTTGCTTAATCATAGGTGCCTAAAGGACATGTTTGGTTAGAAGGTGATAATCTCAGGAATTCTACAGATTCCAGGTGCTATGGACCTGTTCCTTATGGACTGATAAGAGGACGCATTTGTTTTAAGGTATGTATATTTATAGTATCTAAAAATAGTTGCATTCATAGTTCCTGTCAGGTGTTTAAAACTTACCTCCCTAACTGGCTGGCCAAAGCAAATGTGAAGGAAAGCTTGAGCACAATGGCCACTTGCTGTAAAGGATAATTCAGTGGCAGTGGGGGTTTTTCTGAGCAGCACTCTCTGAGCTGTCACTGCCTCTGAAAATAGAATGAGTTGTTTTGCAAGCACATCCAAACCTGACAAAAACACACCCATAATCTCCTCCCCCCATATACCCTACTGCACAGATGTACATTCCAACCTTAATTCAATCCTTGCCTTTGCAAAATGGTAGCAAAGGGCAGCTCCATATTTCACTGCTGTAATTTGGAAAGCATAGGTCAAAATACAAAATGGAGTGTAAGGTTATCCTTCATATAGACTTTAGACAGGTAGACTAGCCTTGCTGCTACTTAAACTAAATCTGTGAAAGACCCTTAACAGTAAAGTCAAATCTCTGCCACCATAATTGTCCACCACATTAAAAAAAAAAAAAGGTTTGAATTAAAATAAGATTGTCTAAACCTCCACAGTTTCTCCTCCGTTTCAACAGTTCTGCAGCTTTACCTCACACTAAATTATTTTTTCATATTATCTGCCCTATTAATTTTTCTCATTTACCATAAAGAAGAAACTAACACAATTTCCTCTCCATAAAAAGTTTAATGAACAAGGGAGTTTGTATTATAGACTTGTGCACCAGCTTTTAGAAAGCTAGCTTTAAAATGGTACCATTTAGAACAGTAAGAAAAAGGGTTTGAAAACTCTTCTCCATATATTACAACACAGCCACAAAAACATAATTCATCACAGCTGTATTACATGCAATTTAATAAAGATGTATAGACTTAATTTACAGTTTTAATGAACGAAACTTGAAAGTTTTCAAAATAACCTCACTGATTGTTTATGAAACCTCAAATAACATGTCCTGCTCAGCCCCACCACCAAGTTCTGTCTGATCTCTGTTCTTTCTGGATAGCAGTTGCCTTGAGTTCTTCCCTAGTGTTGATTGAGTGCTCTCTGTTCCTACTCTATATTGTTTGCCGTAACCATGTACACCAGAGGAAGAACACTGATTCTAATATGGCTATTTGTGTGACCCAAGTTTTAGCTTGGATTGCTAACTGCTAAAATGCAAATGATGCTAATATGCTGATGGCCCTCTTTATGAGAATGTGGCAGTAATAATCCAACTGAAAAAAAAGTTTCCAACTCTACACTAGTATAGAAAAAACCAGCTGGTTACTACGTTAAGGGGACTGGTAGCAAATTATTTATTAAGGACCTACGTCTGTGGACAGCTGTAATTTTGAGACTTGAATAAAGTGACTGACAAGACTGAACCCTGAATTTTAGCATGCAGCAAACTCTGTAAAATGAGTGGATCTTACATGCAGATATTCCATACTGAAGGAGTGCTGTAGGGCTCTAGAATATTGTCTGTTTAAAAAGATAGTACACAATCACTTGATACTTAATCAAAATAATTAAGCAAATTTTATAGCAGTTGTTTTATGACAGTGCACAGAGTAGTGATTATTAACATTTTAACGATATTTAAGTATATGGTGCCCAACAAAAGCAAAAAAGAGTTTGTTCTTCAGATGAGTGTTTATAATTTGGATTGTTGATGGTAATTCACATTAGAATACAGTGATCTTGTTCTTATGTCTTGCTGCTGAACATTAGATTGAAAGGCAGAAGAATACAGCCAGTCTGCATGGTGGCAGCTAACGAGACCACTGGCCAAGAAACCTATGTGTGTTTTTAATGTAGTCTGCTAGGTGTTTTGCTTCTCCTTCATGTAAAATCTTTTACTGCCTCCAGAATAGAAGCTTATGTGACTTCATCTTAAAGTGCATTCTGGAGGAGAAGACATAACAGTGGCTTTTGATGCTAAGTTACATTTTCAGTAATGTATGCAAAAACCCAAATCTATTTGGAAGTCATTAATTTCGACAGAAGAGAGTAAGCTTATACTAAGCTTGTTCAGGCACCCTATTCTTGGCAAAACATAAATGGTAATCCTCTGTGTGGCTTACCAGTGAAGTTCCGACTTAAGATTTGCAGTCAGCATTGGTGCGCCAGTGTTTAACCCATACAGAACTAATGACGTTATATTTGCCCCTTTTTCTCCCCGCCACTCTGAGAGGCAAGCTCATTCCATGAAAAGGCTGCTGAAACCAAAGCAGCTGCACATTCAGTAGAAGCTGAGGGAGTCCCACATTGACAGAATTCGAGCTTCATCCTGCCCTAGCTAGGAGATCTGGTGCATTCCCTGGGCTTAGGCTCCATGTCTAAAATGGACCTGTCGTGTATCTGCAAAAGAGCTAGTTAGCCCCATTCATCCCCCATCCATCAGATCAAATCTATGTAGGCCAAACCAACGAAGGCACGGGGAAATAACTGCTAATTGGACTAGCCAGTTTGAACGAATAAGCCACAGTCAACTTCTGTCATAACTTTAAAAGACTTGCAAATTACTACACACAGCAGCATATCTTTGTTCCACAGAAAAGGCTTGTTCCATCTTAATTCCAACCACTAGTACTGTTTCTCACATTCTCTCCTGCATGCAGACTACATAAAACATCGTTTCTGTTCTACCACTAAGATTACTGTAGGAATTTGAAACTAAATTGTCAAAACAATACTTAAATCTGAGGTTCCTTCTGTACTGTGGCTGTTCCATGAATTCAGTTAAAGAGCTCTTTCTCTGTCTAGATCACTTCACGTTGAGCAGTGGCTGTGTGATTTTTATGGGACTAGAGTCACTCAGGGCATTCATTCTTCGGCATCATCTCTTTCCCTTCTTCCTGCTATCCCCTTGTGCCACCTTTGAAACAAGTGTTGCGAGGAGACACAGATAGTCAAGGGAGACAAAGGACAAAGCATAAAAGAATGTCCTTGATTCCCTATTACTTTCTTTTGTTTTGCATCCAAGACCAGCCTACATGTAATTAGTGAACTTTGAGAGCACAGTACTCCTGGGAGCTTTCAGGTGTATGAACAGCTATACAGGTAATTTCTGAAGAGAAGGTTTTTCTCTTGCTGGTTAGCATCATTTTCTGATGCTTATACTTGGTCATGATTTGTGCTCCTTTTTTTACATAGCAGTCCCCTTCTCAGAGAAGCCCCCCTGGCTGAAGAGCCCCTGATGGTGGCAGGCACTCTACCCCTTTATACCTTTTTGTATGGGATAAGCTTATCTACAAGCCTATGGAATTTTATTCCAGGGTCTGGTGTTTGCAGTCCAAATGCCCATCCAGAGGTAACCTTTGTGGTATTCTTCTCCTAGATGGATCAAAATACATACTCCATCTTTCAAGTTAAAAGGTTTACAAGTTAGAAAACTGAATTCAAAAGACATTCTAGGAATGTATTTATTTCAAAGACTGAAAAGAATATTGTAATTTGAGAGGCCCTAGTAGAGCATGCTGTGAATAAATTAGTGTTGTCTATGACTGCTACGGAATGATGATTCCTTCTAATACACAGCATTTGTCACTTGTAGTAAAGGAAACATGCAGGTGAGAGAAGTTCACATGCCGTCACCCAAAAAGCTAAAAAATTATAGTTAATGAAATGATTACAACATTGAACTGAACTTTTGAGTTGTGATTAAAATATCTTGTAACTGTGTTTTATTTTACAGATATGGCCTCTGAATGACTTTGGATTTCTACGTGCAAGCCCCAATGGCCATAGATTTCTGGATGATTAAAAGATTTAAGTGACTACTGCCGGCTTTCCTAGTATTTTCTACTAAAATTAATGGAACTATTTTTGTTTAGAATAAACACAAGTATGACTTGATAAGGAGGTCTCTTTCTGAGATTACATCTAACTTGAAAGTGGGAATGATACACTGCTGTCATCAACAAACCTACCTCTTACCATTTCCTCTGGCTGTTTACAGTAAGTGCTTGAATTTAATAGAAAGATTTGGGTTTTGCTGCAAGCTAAGGTTAGCACTGACTGTTAACAAGGGATGAAAAAGGCACAGTGCACCCAGAGCTGTGCATAGGCTGTGCCTACAGTAGCAAGTAGTGTGGTCTGCTAGGATTAGGACTGAAAACAGTAATGGTGGGGGTCTTGGATCTGCTCACAGGAGTTCTGTAGGGTTTAGTTACATTGGCTAAAGCCAGTGTGGTCGGTCCAGAGGCCTGTGTGCCTTGTAAGGGTCAGAGCTTGGCTTCTTCTTTAGTCTTTACATAAGGAACGAAGACTGCATTTGTTCAAGATGGAGAGAGTGAGTTCAAAACTTGCTCCTTCTCCAAGCTGGAAAGCTAATGCAGATGCACTGTCAGATGTGCACAGCCACTGCACCTGCTACGTATTACTATGAGAATCAACCTGCCTGACCTGCAAGTCTCTGCCACCTCTTTCCAAGGCTCAAGTCCTGAATACTTCCATACTAAAATATTTAATAACGGAAATAGAAAATGTTCCCATTAATGCACCTTACTTTTCATTATGTTCAAAGCATGCTCACATCTATGGCTGCTAATTAAATTTTGTCATCTGAGCTGTTAAAAGGATTTAACCTAAGAGGTTGGACCTGACATAGAGCTGATACAGACTGAGACTGAAAGAAGCTACTCCATTGTTTACTGGGAAAGAAATGTCCTTTAGATCATGAGATATATTACCATTGTACAGAGCTCAGTGTTCTGTTCTGGAGGTTTTTATTAACTAGCTCTTTAGCTGCAGAAGGGAAACCAAGCCTCATATCTGCAGAGCTATGTTAGCTAATGTGCATGTTTCCTTTCTTAAGCCTGACTGAATTTATTCCTGTCCCCTTTTCTTTAACATACATTCCTTTAGCAGATGCTGTCCCGTTTGTCCAGTCTTTTTACAAGTTTGTAACTCTTCATGTGCTTGATGGAAACAATCATTGAAGGATCTCGATTACGAGTGAACATGTGTCACAACAAACCAAAGATACGTCCTTGGTTTCACTCTTGAAGACAGTGTAATTCCCACCACATCGACATGAGACAGTGTAACATTGTTCATCTGCCAAAAAGAAAACAAAAAAGCCTTTAGTGCTTGAGAAGAAGAAAGAATTTATTCTGGGTTTTCTTCACAAAGCTGATCTTAATATAACAAATGACCTCTCATTGCTGGATTGTAGGTATTGGTACCTGGGGTACCATTTATTGCTCAAAAGACAAATCTACTCTTAAACTGTTTCAGTGACTGTGAAGTATTCTTACACAAGCCAGCCAGGGTCAATTGGTCTCTCTACAAAAGCAATTAATAAAAAGGTGAACATCAGTGAAACAGATAATAAAAAGAGAAAAAAAAAGCTGTTAGTCAGAAATAACAACAGATCAAGGAAGGTTCCAAACCAGACTGCTAGCCCGGAAAACAGAAGTAAAACAGAAGAAAGGAAATCTGACAGGATTTTCCCCCTCACAGCTTAAAGAAACGGTAGAAAACCCAAAACCAAACAAACACAAAAAATCCTCAAAACCAAACCCCCTCAGCCATTCATTTAAAAAGCAAATAAATGATAAAAGCTGGAGTATCATAAAGAAGGGAAGTAACAAACATTATGAAAATATTTAGAAAAAAATCTGTATTAAAACACCTGAAATTTTGCCATCATAGAAAGAGCCAAAAGATGCACGAAGATGGGAAGAATCTGGAAATCTAACCACTCAATTATACAACAAGGAAAGAGCTAGGTGAAAAGTGGTACTGCAAGTGGGGCAGGGAAATAGAGGAGGAATGCAAGATAAGGACCACAGAAACTTAAGTTCCAATTCAGGTACTCACAGAGAACAGAACAGAACAGCAAAAAAGCTGAGAAAATACAAAACAGTAGAACTTACAAGACAAAATGATGGTATAAGATCTAGAAAAAAGATAAATACTTTTGCAGTGACAGTGAAAGGCACTGGGAACAAGTATTAAGGCACTCGTACCTTCATTCCAGGACATATCCTCAAGGGAAATCTGTGCATGTAGTGGCCATTCTTTTGTCACATTATCTTCTATAAAGAAAACATGGCACATGTTCAACCCTGGTAACAACAGGTCATTATTTCTTCCTGATCAATGACTAGTTTTACATACCCAGCAGCCACAGCTGGTTCTTACTAGAGAGTCAATTAAAAATGCAGTTCTCTAAAACTTTAGTTTCCATGTCTCTGCATAAGCTGGAAAATGTTCTGCTGTACCCAGGAGAAGTAAAAGTTAAAGCCACATTCGTGAAATGAAGGCGTGACTGAAAACAGCAGTTCTGCAGATCCCAAACAATTATGTGAACTAGGAGCAAAATTTAGTTTTGATAGATAAACCTTTTAAAAGCCTGTCTGTAACTACAACTCCACGAGCTGGAACTGGGAACATCTGCTTACCTGTACCTGTCACAAAATCAGGGAATGGCTGAGGTCAGAAGGCATATCTCAAGATCAAATCGCCTGCACAGGCAGGGTCAGCTACAGCAGGCTGCCCAGGATCACATCCAGTTAGATTTTAAGTATCTCCACAGATGGAGACCCCACAACCCCTCTTAGGCAACAGAGTCTCCCTTAGAAAGGGGAAGCCAAGTAAACCCCCCCAGTAAACACCAGTTTATCAGCACATTCATATTTGGTGTACAGTAAAGGACAGAAACCCCTTACAATTTGCTACACAAAACCTCTCAGCTGCTGCTTGTAAGCTCCAACTCCCCAAATGCTGCATTTGAAGAATCAAAAACACTTAAAAGCATCTTTAGCACATACACAGAAATGCCCTAGATTTTGCAAGAGTTGAGAGCTTAGCACTTACTTAAAGTTTAAATTGTTTTTGAGAGAGTAGGTGCTCCATCTCTTGAAGCAATGAATCTAAGATTTATAAGTTTGGTAACATCAAGCTTTCTAGAGCATGTGGTATTGTCTACAGCTTTCTGTGGAAATTCAGTTGGCAGTGAAAGTACATGCTGAAAAAGGCAGAGGCCCAGATGATTGTTTTATGTTAATTCCCAAACTAATCACTATATTGTAGGGTATTCTAAAAGTTTTCAAGCTTGTTCTATGTAGCTTCTCTTCGGACAGAAAAGAGACTTTGCAGCTATCTCCTCCACTAATATCCCAGAAAAACTGCCAAAAAATGATACAAACATGGGATGAGTTATCAGTGACGTAGTGACTCGGAAGAGACATATATGAGTTGGCTTAATTAACTGTCAGTTGATTTCACACATTATCTATGTAAAACAAGCTATGTGCAAGTAAGATTCCTAATTCACAACAAAGGAGTGCATGGCTCTATCAGAGTAGAGTATCATAGGTGGAAGTATCAATGTAACTTGCCAGTAGTGAAATAAACCCTTTGCATTTTAGCTAATCTTATGTATGTGTGTGGGGAAGAGTTAATATGTTAATACATTTTGGGTTTCTAAATTGGACATTTAAGGCCAGTTAAAAAAAAATCCAAAACAAAACAAACCCCAACTGTCAAATACTAAGTCTTAAAGTGGGATTTCACTTAGAACAAGTTATATAGGATTGGAGGTGGAGGACTGGGTCATGTCTTGCCGGCAGGAAATGCAAAAAGGAAGATGAACCATATGCCACCACAAAGAACTGGTGAGACGCAAGCTGATGAGGTTGCTATGCTTGAAGTAAAGTTACTCACAAATCATGGAATCATTTAGGTTCAGCCATTCAAGTAATGAAGAAGAAAGCTGTGGGAAAATCTACACTCTCTTCCAAACATAGTACAATATTAAGCCTTGGGAGCAGAATTTCAACCAAGGTTTTCTAATTCATTACTGCAATTGTAATTTTGAAAAGAAAAAACAAAACAAGCAAAATTAATGACATAATTCCCAGACTGAACTGAGATTGTTATTCCCAGTCTGATGCCCAAGTCTGAAAGATAACTGGCTTACGGGCCATCTCAAAAAATGTGAACTGTTAATTAGTACTCTTGACTTGAGTAAATCTCCAAATTCAGCACATAATCCAGTAACCCTCATCAGTCAGTTTTATATGCTGCATTTATTTGCTTCTCTCATGCAGGCAAGAGAAGCTTACTTTCCAGAGTTGAACAAAGCTTTACTTTCTAGTTTGCCCATTAAATACAGAACCCAGCAGAAACAGATGCAGCCATTTTTATTTAAAGAGAGAGGCAGAGCCCGATGTGAGTTCGGAGAGTTTACATGCAAAACTGCAAACCAGTGGTTTTCACAGAGCGTGTTAGTGACTAATATTTCTTCCTTATTTAATCTGTATCATTATTATTACAACCACAGCTCTCTCACTGGTGGTTCTGTGAAGTAAACCTACATCTGCTTTTCACTCCTTTGCCAGAAGGGAAAGTTAAGACTGGTATTGTTACCAGTGCTGAGTTACAGGGTAGGTTTACTCACACATGATGCCTGCTCAACCTGCAGAACTCTGTGTACCGAGTGGTACTATGTGAAACACATTCCTGTACATACAGGGGAAATTGTGAGGTCCTGGTAATCTACGATAGCTTGAAAAACAAATGTTAATTCACAAGTAGAGCCTGCCTGGCTTTGCCATCTATTGGATTTGTCTGACAACAAGAAGTGAAAGGATTCTGCAGCTCCATTGTCTCAACTGCAGAATCTCAGAAAACACTGGCAGGCTCATCAGAGAGGTTTATGAGCCTGCAATTCAAAGAGATTAAAAGGAAAAATCTACGGAGATTCTTTCAGGCTAAAGAACAACATTAAATAACTATTAGCAGCTTGGTTCAGTAAAGCTTTACTAGAGCCCTTGCTGGGTCATTCAGAAATTGTAAAAGAAGAAAGGTATTTAAGTTTTACTTGAGGATACAATAAATATTTCTTGGGCTATTTAAGGCGGAGTTTTAGGGAAAGGGTTGCAAGCAGTGAATGGAAATTTCACCCTTTCAACAGTTTACGGTAATAGTAAAAATAGTCGCAATACTTAAAGATTTTTCTAGCTCTTTATCAGTCATATAGTCTTCAAATTCATAAAAGTTCAAGATATGTATATTCAGTCAAATACTGTCCATAGTACCTACTCAGTATCAAAATGAGCACAGTTCTCACAACCTGGATATCTCCATCATTTTTTTCTAATAGACTGTTTAGTTTTTAGATGATTACTGACATTCTAGTTTCTCACATTAATTTAAACTAACCATGCCTACTTCAATTGCAAATGATAAATAAGTCATGCATTAAGAATTTCCATAACAAAAGCCATGTTTGTTAAATAAAATAAATACTGCTTGACTTGTAGCCAGTGCAGATCAGAGTTAACTCCAAAGAACTATGGAACAAGGGTTGTGTTCCAGCACTAGGTGAGGGTCTACAGCCCTAAAAATCCATGGCTAGAGAAGGAATACGTACTTCTGTGCCTTCACAAGTAGCATCTGGCAGAATGAAAAGCCTGAGGTAACAGCCATGGGAAAATCTTTATTTTGGTCTGAAAGTTTTTTTAAAAGAAGGAATTTTCTTAACAAGGAACCACTGCACTATGCTGCATTAATTGTTTTCCTTTCTTATAATTAGATAGGGAAGGTGTTCAATTGCCCTTCCTGCTAACTACTGAAAGCTTTTTTGTAGACTTTTTGTCTTGCTTCTCCTGCTTACTCTTAGCGGATCTGTAAGGTTATTCTGGCATCCTATTTATCACATTATGTAAAGTATCTTGGCATCTAATACAGTATCATCACTTTATTGCCAGAGCAGGAGGGAATGATGGATCAATGGGGAAGCAACCATCTCTAAACCAGCCTTTTCAGTTTACTATACTAGGAGAGGAACAGAGAAGGAGCAGGGGGAGATTTAGCTTGGGTTTTCATTTTCCCACTTTATGACCACACCTGTGTAAGCTTCCCTTTCCAAACCTGCAGCAGAAACTTTGAGTGAAGACAGCTCCTCAAAAGATTTGTTTTCAGGTTTTAAAGAAGATTGGTTTTGCCAGTGAAAGCTGAATTATTGACCAGGTATTTTAAAATGAGCTATTCCAGCCTAACTAAAGGTTTTTCTTTGCCTCACTGACTAAAGGGAAGATACGGAGAGGATGGAACCAGGCTCCTCAGACACAAACAGCACAAGCTGCAACAGTGGCAATTCCACTTAGGACTTGTAATTTTCCACATAGAATCACAGAGTGGTTTGGGTTGGAAGGGACCTTAAAGCTCACCTACTTCCAACCACCCTCACCACAGGCAGGGACACCTTCCACCAAACCAAGCTGCTCAAAGCCCCATCCAGCCTGGCCTTGAAATCTAAGAAGTGAAGCAAGAACTAAAAAATGATGCTGGAATATCTATTACTGGATGAAAAATGCATCGGTAATATTTTTCTAAAAATGTAATTCCAAACCTGAAAATGATGAGGAGGTACATCCTGAGATGTGAAAACTCTTCCTCGTGGTTACACCCCCACCCTATAAACACCCAAGCTCTATGGACACCTCTTTTCCATCATCATGTAAGAATGTATTATCCAGCATAGAACCTCACTGGAGCCATACCTGGAAGGTTCTCTAGATTCTTAAATTTCTGCACCCTCTGCCCCCAAAACATATACAGAGCACCTGGTTTTAGTGTTAATCCCGACTACCTTTGAATTAGTTGCTCCATTAAGTGATTTCATTTTAATTGCAACCTTTCTATTCATTATTCAGTCAGGTTAGACAGGGCTTGGAACAAACTGGTCTAGTCGAAGGTGTCGCTGTGCATGGCAGGGGGTTGGAACTGGAGGAGCTTTAAGGTCCCTTCCAACCCAAACCAGCCTGGGATTCTCTAATGGAGGAAAAAAAAAAAAAAGGGTAACTTATTATGCAGGTTTTTTTCCACCCCCAATTTTTACTTTTTCTCTCCGGCCTCTCCCCCTTCCCCCCCCCCCTTCCCCCGACTGAAAGCAAAACCCTTTAGCATTATAACAGGGTATTCTTATATGTCATTAAAGATATGACAAAGAAATGAACTGGAAAACTTTTTACAAAACATAGAAAAAGACAGTTCTCCAATTTCCAGACCAGAGAGGCCTGGATGAGTATTTAAGCCAAACTTCTAAATGGTTTGAGGTTTGTCCTTTCCTCTTTAATACTATGGCCTGAAGGCACAGAGAAATAAGTAGGAGAGGACAGTGATACCTTCAGAGAAAAACAGTATTAAGGTATGGAAGCACATTCCCTTGTTATTCTCAACAATTCAAACAAGCAGGAAATTGAAACCACAGAGCCCTGCACTTTCAGCTTCCTGGAACATCTCTGGCCACTGAGTTTCTGAGTCAAGTAATTAAGATTTAGTTAGTATAACACAAGAAGGTAAATACAAATAAACAATCTGTGACTTGGAAAGAGGACTACAGTGCAAGTGACTTGCAGCCAGGCACATGTGCATGCTGGCAGCCTTCAGATCCTGCTTCCTGGGCCATGCAGTCCTACCAGCTCGCTGTATTATCTCCCTCATCACTATTCCCCTTAGCTGCTGTCTCTGTTCCTTTGTTTCTGTAAGCTTTTACAGCAGCGTCTACGACTTAGTCTAGAATCATGACTTCAGAAGCAGCTTGACAAGCATTCAAAGAACCAGAATTTATTTCACCATCATTTTGCTGCCAGGGAACACACTGCAAAGAATGCAACAATACTGCACATGCGTGTTACATGTCGCTTAGTCTGAAACACCTGGTCCCCTGTGAATGGCACCCTCTATATTAAAATATATCTGTTCAATTACCAAATACCTGTGTAAATAAATAAACAATTTGTTTTCTTAATTTACTAAATCTTTTTTAAAGGATCTTCAAGTGGCTTTTTTAAGACCTCATCTGGATGCAAAAGAACCTCAGGAAATATAGGTAACCTTTAAAATACTTTGGAATGAGTTTTGTCAAAAATAATTTATAGTAATGTCCTTATATTCCATGGGAAAACAAAGTAACTTACTAAATCTTGATGTAGCTCTCAACTTCAGTGGATTAACTTGACCCAAGTGAAACGGAACTTTGTATTTAAGCTTTAGTTAAAAATCACTAGATACAGAGAAGACTTTTCACGTGACCTCTAATATTTTTTTCCTGTGCATGTATGATTTGTGACAACGGAAGACACAGCTGATATGACAGTGCCAGGAGTACAATAGGATGAGAGCACTGGGTAGCAGAAATTCCTCTTCTGACATCACATTCAGACATTTAAAAAATAAATTTGAGATGAAAATGTGTTTATGTTTGACCTTAATCCTGTTTATGTGACAAATCAGGACAACATCCAATTTTTTTCCCCATCCTTTTAAACTATTTATTCAATGATTCTGTTTTCGCCCCTCCACCCTCTCTTCCAAAACCCACACAAAGTGTGAAATACAAGATTTAACTAGAGAATTCATACTGGGTATATACTATTATGTATCGCTCTTTTTATTCGGCAGTAATGCATATCTGCCAGAATGACTAAGTCTTTGTCTCTCAAAGTTGTGGTACCCGCAGCGGCAGGGGAGTTAAAAATCAGCACAAGAGAGAAGGGTCTGATGGTGTGCCAATGTACAATGGAAGAGAATTCAATAACAAGCTGCAGAGACAGTGGGCTTTTATCTGACACATTCAGAAGTGGTGGTGGCTACACGTCAATGCTGGACCAGAGTGTGTTACTGCAGAGTGCAACTGAGTGTTTTCCCCACAGGCAATACACTATTATTGACTCCCCCCCATTAACATGTAGGGTGGATATACATTTATTGAAGGTTCTAATGGAAGGCTGAGGGACTCCTATCCTGAGGCCAGAGCAGAAAGACAGCCTATCACTTCATGTAATGGTAGCCCATGTGTGACAGACCTGACCTACATTTCCCCCTTTCTTTCTCACAACAGCCTGTCACTGTTTTAAGAAGCTATTTTCTGAGAGGTATAAAAAGAAATGCATGCCAGAGCTGCCTAGTTAATGTGTTATATCTGAATATTATTTATAAACCTGCTTTAAAAGACTGTTTTAGACTACAGATGAATTATGAAAGCTATTGTAACACACACACAACTGAAAAGAATGTGTCTAATGATTCTCAAGTGCTTATAAACACACATTAAATACTATGTGTAAAAGGATTAATACCTGTACCTAAGATACTGCAACAAAATGTAAGATAAGACTTAAAATTAAGGTCACCTAATAAAGCTGCCTTAATAAAATAAAAAGGGCTAAGGTCTGTAATTAGTCTAAATTTCATGTTTGTTCAAATTATTAGGAATAACACCACCTAATGTTTTGTTGGAAGTAATTCAGTGTTTTCACTAACGTATGCTTAGCAAAAGCTATAAATAATGGATCCACACTTGAAAGTAGGACAAGAGTGAAAGAAACATTTGGCTCAGCAATAAACAGCATTTTAAAATACCATCTAACTACCACTCTCAGACCCTGGTTTTTAAAGACCGGCTGCCACTGCTGCATTCCTTGGCAGAGACCTACCACGCTGCTGCAGGTCATACTCTTTTTTTGTCTCTTCGTTCCCTAGAATTTTCCACGCTTGATCGATTTCGATGAACCTCTGCATGCGCTCCTCCACTTCTCCTGCTGGCACATCTGCCTTCTGCTTGTCTGGATGATACTGCCCATCACACAAACAAACAGAAAGATGAAAAAACAAAGTTGGGGGGAGCGGAAGTGAGGAGGGTGGAAGAGGAGCAATCAATAATGCATTTGATAGTCAGTTAAAAGGACAGAGAAAAGGAGAAGGTCTGAGGTAAGGTGCCAAAGGAAGGGAGACAGCGATGCTGGGCACAAGAGAAAACTGCCAATTTAATTAGACCACTGAAATGGCAACAAAACACCAGTGGCACAAATGTCACCACACACACTGACGGCATTTTCTGGGTAATTTGCTGATGGAATCATTGGTCTTATGGACAATTTACCTAGAGAGAATGACTACCACAAGCAGAAATAGGTACATGCAGAGGAGCACAACACAGGAACAAGAGGAGGTGCTGTAAGTGCTAGCGGCTCTCTGAGTATTACACACAGATGATTCAAACAATACCCCCAATGTTTAGTTAAGACTATCACAGACAGATTGAATGCTGCATCACATGTGCCTAGTATTTTTTTTTAAATACTATTTAAGTGGTAAAGAGAATATACATGATCAGATATGATACTACATGCAATTCTGGTTTTGAAAATATGCCTCAACATCTTTAATTTCTTCCAGTTCAGTGAATCAATAGCCCTTCCAAATATTTAAAGTCATGGATCACTGGCCACAAAATTCTGTCATTTTAGTTAAGAAATGGTTATTCAAGGACATGACTGCAAGAAATCCAACACTAAATGGCAATAATAACTGAAATAGAATCACATTTTCTCTACCATTCATTCTAAACAGAGCATTCCAACTTTTCGGCTCAAATGCCTATTGAAAAGGAACCCTCAAAGCTCCACCATCTTCCTGTGGCTTTAATTCATCTCCAATAAGCTTTTTTTTTATATATATTTTTTTTAAAATTGCTCAGTCTAAATGATGGATCAACAGGAAGCAGCATTTTAGATGAGAAAGTTCCACTATAATCAGACCTATCACCTGTTAATTGTGCTGTAAATCTTGATATCCCTTATTCCAGAGCTTTAACATCTTCCCTTTCTATCAACATCAGCTGGGGCACCAAAACATACAGCAGATTTTAATCCCTTTGTTTTAGTTTATAATTAATTTTGGAAAAAAAAAAGAACAGAACACTAGTATCATGTCTGCTTTACAAAATCCCAAATTTAAAAGGGCCACTCCTACTGGAGTCTTATTTCCTCTCTGATGTATGTATCTGTCATTTGCTGATGCGTATTTACTGTCCCTTCCAACTCAAACTGTTGTAGGATTCTAGGAGAAATCCCATGTGTAACAACAAGAGGATGTACATAAGAGCAAAATATTAAGTTTTAACTTCAAGTTTTTCCACAGGTATTTTACCATATACATAGATGAATGAACCTGCAACCTCAACGATGAGGTCTGTACACAAATGTCTATTTTTGTTCCACTGTGAGTGAGCACACTTGAAGCATGTGTTAATTTCTTGAATAACACAGGAAATTCATTTATTCAGATTTATCAGTTGGCTTTTAGCTTCTTTCTTATCAATTTAGGAAATACAATATTTGCAGGACATGCAATTTTTATATTTGAAAGACTGGCAATTTCATATGACTCATAACTAGATTGTTGGGGACCTAATTCAAATCTCTGCCCCTTTTGGTCTCCCTGCTTTTTAAAATAATTTACTCCTTCCTCTGTTGGGCTTGTTTCTCTGCTACTATCTGATGCTTTTAGTAGTCTACATCTACACTAAGAAAAAGCCCCAAACTTATGCTCTTTCACTGTAATCCTCTTCATGCCCTTCTCCATCTGAGACAACAAACAACATGTCCTTGCTCCAGCTCTTTTAGGCCCTGCTCAGCCTGCTGAGACACCAACCACAGGACACCTTACCAAAGTGTTAACCAGCCTAATAGATGAAGTTCAGAGAGCACTCTGATGTCCTCCATCAATACTTTAGACATTAATCAATCAGTACTCTTGTTTGGTATCTTCCCTTATTCTTGGTTACTGTATATTTGCTTCTGATGCTCTTCCTCAACAGAGCCAGGGGTTTGGATTTGTACTGAGGGAGGTGAAATATGATGCATGTTTCTGATCTCCTCCTCTTTTCCCATTCAGCCTTATTTCAGGGTTAATCTCTGCTGCAACCGTGCACAAGTTCTGTAATGAAAACAGACAAGCCTGTTTTCTACTCGACCTATCTCCTTCTACTCAAACTGAACTATTGTTCATCTCTCCCTCTGTGCATCCAGTTATAAGTTCTTCCTCAAAATGTTAGAGCTACCCAGTGTCTCCTGCAATATCACTTCTCAAAACCTGTGCAAATTATCTTTGTGTCACTCATACCTGCCACCTGAGCACTATTTTCAGCTCTATTAGTGCACTTAGGAACTATCTGTATCTTTCTGGCTGCATAAACAGTGTTTTTAAGAAGCAATACTTTCATAAATATAGCTTTTCACTGAGCACACATCCTGATTTTTGAACACAGCACTAATTTTTACTAATGTTACAACTTCATAGGCTTTTATAAAAACAATAAAGGATATTTTTCTGAGCCTGACAGAGGGAGGGTGAAAGGAAGAAGGTTAGGTATGTCTGCCCGGTCTAGTTTTCCTTTTTTCCCCTTTTTTTTTTTACCTCTAGAAGAAGTAAATTTCTAACTTATTTCCATTAATAAAGACTGTCTGGAATTTCTAACAGTTTATAGCAGATGATGCTTCGTAGTTACTGTGAACATTAAAAAATAGTCCAAAGCACAAATGAAAAACAAACTTTAAACTTTGTCTGTTGGAGACCTGGTGAATTTTTTAGTGCTACAGAAAAGCAAACTTAATCTGATGCCCTTTTCAATTACAGTATCATGCCTTTCAACAACTTCATTTAACTGTCTTATTTTTAATATGCATCAGACTGTATTTATCACCTGACAAATATACTCTAAAAACACAGATACAGGTTCAGTTCATGGTTGTGTAAGTATCATGGAACACCTTAGTTTAAGTAAATTAATTGTATTTCATTATTCTAATCTATCGGCTTTGATACCAAGCAAGTGAGCAAACCTTTTTGGTCTTGGGGAAAAATACAGTGTTTATATTGTTATGTTCACCAAATAAAGCGTAGACCCTGAAAACTACTTGAGTTCCATCATGTATTTGAGTTATACAGTCATCATTTCATTTATTCAGTGTACCACACATGGCTTTCACCCACAGGGTTTGTGTAAGAATTTGGAACACACTTGTAGCACATTCAACTGCTGTATTTTTTATTTCTACCCACTTTGTACTCCATGAAGTTTGGACCCTGCAAAACAACCCCTGGACTTTAATCCCTGAAAATTAGTAAGGACCTTTTGGTCAATAAGTGTTTTATGTCTCAGTAAGCATACTAAGAAACCTTAAGAACTCTCTTATCACAAGATGAGACACTACCAGGTCCCTATCCTCCCAACACTTGTATGCGTTGCTTAACTTTACGCAATAAATGTAATAGGGTTGATTGACTTTAATCAAATTCAAATGAGCAAGCAGAAAACGTTGAGTTAAATCAATTTAATGTACATTTCTTACTGGCACTCATGAAGTTATTTTTCAAAAGGAATTTACAACACCCAATAAGAACCAACTTAATTCAACTTACTGGGAATGAAAGAGTAAAGCACACAGGCATAGATAAGTTTTATACTAAATTTGCAATCTCTTGCTAAACTGTGGAATACATGGTAAATAAACCACTCAATACAGTCAAACGTTTACTCATAACTACTTTTCCACATCACAAACTAAAAAAGCTGATTATTTGAAAAAGGTTCAGAAAGTACTATTCCTTCTCATTTATTACTTAATACGTCATCATGAACATTCTGCCTTGTGTATAAGGGGTATTCATTTTAAAAACAAAAGATGCCCCACATGTCCAATTCCATTCATCAAAACAGGTGGCTTTATTTTCTATGAAAACTACTTCTTCCAAATATTTACGAGAAGTGCTGTCCTTTACTACTATGTATTGCACAGATAACTAAAGAATTCCCCCTACCCCTAAAATTACACAACTTTCAAGTAAGTAATATTCTAATTTTTCCTGACTGAGGAAAAATAAGTAGATCAGCTCTATTTTCCCAATTTTTTATTTTTTTCCCCCCAGGATTAAAGTAAGGACTACTCTCCACTTTCCACAGCTTTATCTTTCCTGATTTCCCACATTTCATGCAAAGCTGTCAAACAGTAGGAGGAATCCTAAGCAGCAAATAAAAAGTAATATAAAAAGGATGAACCTGATGTGGCTGCATTAAAACTTGACCTTCTCTCCCAAGACAGTATTTTCAAGGAAATATTTTCAGGGGTTTTTATTCTTATTATATGCCTTTTAGTTGTTTGTTTGGTTTTTTTTGAGGTTTTTTTTTGGGGGTTGGTGTTTTTTTTTTTTTTGGGTAAGGAAAACCATTATTAAGGTTCTAAAAAGTCAAAAGTAAAGACCGACACAGGACAATGATGAAACCATTACAGTTGAGTAAAAAGTGAGACTATTCTGGACTTACCATCATGAGTCATAAAGTAACCACTAAGCATCTGCACTACCAAGTTAAAGCATAATACATTTCTAAGCTATCAGATTTTATTAAAGATTTTTAACTCTGAAATTATCTACAGTCTCCTGGAATCACCTTGCTAAATTAAACTGACAAGTTGAGACAACTCTTGAATTCCTGCTTTATTTAAACAGGGGATGCGTGCCTATATTTGACTAAGAGATGTATTTAAAGCTAGAGATGTGCCCTAAGTTCCTGAATAAATCAAATGTTTTTTTAACAGGGGATTACTATACTTACATGCATTTAAGCACTTGTGCTTTTGTAGGAACTATATCTAATGACTAAATCTAAGCTGTAAATAAGAGTCAATGATAGAATACTAACATCTAAACTTAACAATTAACTCAGTATGCCTTAGCATCCTCCCTTTCTCCATGTTAGACATACAGTATTAGCTATGACAGCCTTATAGCCT